TATTTTGTGATCTAACAAATAAAGCTTGCCTGAAGATCAGAGTGTGGAGCTAAGCCACTAGTTAACTATAGAGGCCAGGCAGTGGTGGCACACACCTTTAATCCCATAGAGGGATCTCTGAGTTCAAGGCTGCCCTGGGCTACACAAAATTGGCCCAGTCGCAAAAAGAAACAAGCCAGGTGGTGATGGCTTACACCTTTAATCCCAGTACTTGGGAGTCACACACCTTTAGTCCCAACACTAGGAAAGCAGAGACTAGAGGGGATATGGCTTGGCAGAGAGGGGAACAAAAGGTGGAAGGAGACAGGAGTTCATTGAATTCAGTCTGAGCATTTGTTGAGACAGGATCTTGCCCCATCTGTCTGAGCATTTAGAGAGATAAGAACTCTTGTAGCTGGCTGCTCTGCTTCTCTGATCTTTCAGCTTTCACTCCCCTCATATCAAACTCTGAATTTCTATTTACTAAGACCAATTTCAAACTGTATAAAATATACTACACAAAATATGTAGTGATGTGTTTCTATTTAAGTCTTGCCTCTCATTAAATCTTAGGATGTTCTGATCTTGAGCCAGCATTCAGCAGGCAGAGACAGGAGGACTGTTGCAAGATCTGGGTCACCCAAGTCTACATAGTAAGTTTCAGGTCTTCCAGGGCTACTTAACAAAAAAACCCTGCCAAATTAAATAAATAGTTTTCAGCCTTCCCATTAGTAATAGACCTTTTTGTGTGGTTTATGCCTTTACAGTGAGTTTAAGTTGTTTTTAAAAACAAGTTTTTGCTGTTTGACAAATGGTCATTGTGACGTTTGTAAGTAAAGTGACGCCTACTGGTGGAGGGAGAAAAAACAGCTCCATGGGTAAGGGCACTTGATGCTCTTGAAGAGGACTGCAGTTCACAGGGAGGGAGCTCACAACTGTTCCTAACCCCAGCTCCTGAAGCTCAAATGGTCTCCATATGCACATGCATACACAAAATAAAAAAATAAGTCTGAAAAAGACTTGTAACAAAAATACTTTCTTACTGCAATCCTTATTTTTGAATGTCGACTGAAGAGTTGAACTTATTTAGAGATTTATTTTAAGTATAATATATGAGTATTATGTGCTACCTTTGAAACTCATTTATGTGGGATTTCTGTATGTCTCTGCAACTGCTCCCAAATAATATTCAGAGACTTAACATTAATTATAAATGCTTGGCTGATAGCTCAGGCTGGTCACTAGCTAACTTTCACATTTTAAATTAGCCCATATTTTATTCCCCTTCAGTCACATGGCTGTAGCTTCTTTCAACATAGCACATTCATCTTGCTTCTCTCTTGTCTCTGGAGATTTCCAAGACTTGGCCCTTATTCCTCCCAGCATCCTGTCTTGCTGTCCTGCCTAAACTTCCTGCCTAGCTATCAGCCAGTCAGTTCTTTTATTAAACCAATCAGAAGACACCTTGGCGACAACACATCTTTACAGTGTTCAAAAAGACTATCCCATAACAGACATGTCAAAATGTTGTCCCTAAGGTAACAATGCTGAGAAGTAGTGAGGCCTTAAAGAGATAATATAATAAGGTGCTCAAAAGGTTTACCCCTTTTCTGGAAGGACTACATTAATCCTCACAGTTGGAGCTGGGTTTTGTAAAGCAGACTGTTTTGGGTTTTTTTGGTTTGTTTGTTTTTTGTTTTTTCGAGACAGGGTTTCTCTGTGGTTTTGGAGCCTGTCCTGGAACTAGCTCTTGTAGACCAGGCTGGTCTCGGACTCACAGAGATCTGCCTGCCTCTGCCTCCTAAGTGCTGGGATTAAAGGCGTGCGCCACCACCGCCCGGCCTAAAGCAGACTGTTTTAAGGTGACCCCTATTTGTCCCCTCTGCACAACCTGCTGCCTATGTGATGTCTACCACATCTGAGACCCTGTCAGATGAGGTCTCCGAGTTGAACTAAGATGTCGAGTGTTTGCTCACACCTTTTCTCTAGTCTCCTTCCGACTACAGACTGGAGCTGAGATTTAGAGGTGAGATATAACTTAGTGGTGGGGCACTTCTGAACATTTCATGAGGCTGTAGGGTCAATCCCTAGCACTGAACACAGGGAAAGCAGCAAAAGCCAGGTGTTGTTTTCCTACCTCCACAGGAAAACTGAGATGTAACCCAAACTGAATTTTTTGCTCTACTTACAGCAGCCAGCTTAGGAAGCAGAGGGATGGAGACACAGTAGCTTGTTTCCAAAGGCGGAAGTGCCAATGGCCCAAAGCAGAGCTTGGTAAGTATGGATGCCCACCACCATGGAGGAAGGCTTCAAAATGGCAGGAGGGCTGCCATCCTGGGACCAGTGTCGCAGCATTTGGAGGGGGCAGAGTCTGGCGCAGCCCATGCTGGTCTTCAACTCACTATGTAGAAGGGGATGACCTGGAACTCCTGGTCCTTTCCTGCTTCTACTCCCCAACTGCTGAGATTCCAGCAATGTGCCACCATGTCAAATATATGCAATGCTGGAGATTAAAGACAGGTCTTTGTCTATGCTGGATAAGCACTCTGCCCTAGAAGTAATGCCTGATCTTCATCTTTCTAAGGCATTGTTTCTAAATCCCAAGCCTAGTTGTTTGGCCTATGGAAAGATTTCACCCACTGCCAAACGGTATAGGAGTCCCTTCTGTTTGTGTGTCGCTTTCATTGGTTAATAAAGAAACTGCCTTGGTCTAGTTGAACTTAGGTAGGCGGAGAAGACAGAACTGAATGCTGGGAAGAAGGGCAGAGAGAGAGAAGCCACGGATCTTTGGCCTGAGACAGACAGATGCTGGCTAAAGTCTCGCCAGTAAGTCACAGTCACGTGGCAATACACAGATTAATAGAAATGGGTTAAATTAAGATGTAAGAATTAGCCAATAAGAAACTAGAGCTAATGGGCCAAGTAGTGTTTTAATGAATACAGTTTCAGTTTCTGTGTGGTTATTTTGGGTATAAGCTAGCCAGGCAGCCGGGAGAAACACAGGACCCTCTCCTTGTAACAGCCAAATGCTATTACAATACATTTCTATGTACAATAAACTCAAAGTGGCTTTTCCTCTTACTCTAAGAACCCTGTGTTGCCACAACTGGTACAACCCTTCCCTTTAGCATTTTTCTGCAACTTAAGTGTTTTCTCCTCTGTTGCCTCTAATTTTGAAGTCTTTGGTATCTTGATCATCAAAGAAGTTAGTCGAAAGTGAATAAAATCCAGAACTCTCATTTTCTCACCTATAAATTGTGTTAAGGAAGACTGTAAATGTTCTAACAAGAAAGAGGCTTAGGCATCAAGGTACAGTGCGGGAAAGGCACGTCAGGAATGCAGGTCAGTGGTAGAGCACTTTTCTAGCCTGCATGAGGTCCTGGGCTCAATTCCCAGCACCACACACAGAAACAAAACAACACACATTGCTGGGCACAGGGGCACAGACCTGTAATCTGCAGCACCTGAAAGATTCAGACAAGACTGCCACCAGTTTAGCCCAGTCTGTCATCCTGCACAGCAAGACCTGATGTCACACATGAAACCTCCATGCTGCTGTGGTGGCACACACTTCTACGTCCAGCACTTGGGAGACTGAGGCAGGCACCAGGCTACAGTGAGCTGCACGTCAATCCTGCTATAGGGCAGGGCCTTGCGGCCCAGTGGTAGAGTGCTTTTGATACCAGGCAACCCATAAAACTGGACATGGTATTAGTACAATCCCTTAAACTCAGTCTTTGGGAGATGGAAGCAAGAGCATCTTAAGTTCAATGTCATTCTCAGCTCCACGGTGACCTGGAGGCCAGCCTGAAATACTTTAAGACTTTAAGACTGTCTAGACCAGTGGCTCTCAACCTTCCTAATGCTGAGACCCTTTAATGCAGCTCATGTTATGGTGACCCCCAACCATAAACTTATTTCACTGACACTTATAACTGTAATTTTCTGTTACAAATCATAATGTAAATATCTGATATGCAGGATACCTGATATGCCACCCCTACGAAAGGGTCATTCAACCCGGGTGTGGCAACCCACAGGTTGAAGAATGCTCCTCTAAAGAAACAAAAGCAAAACAAGGTGAGTGTGAGGAAATCCAGAGAACCTTGTTCAGTGAAAGTAACTGCATTAGGCTCGTCACCAACCCCAATAAGCTCAATGACCAAGTCAAAGCCAAATAAATTGCTCACTTCCAACCCATCTTATTTCCCTCAAGTGAGAGATCATTGATGCATAATCCTAACTGATTGAACACTTGATTATTTCAAAATTACAGTGCTCCCAACACAAAGAAGTGATGAATGTCTGCAGGAACGGATATGCTAGTTACTGATCTGATTATTATAGATTAGACATGGATTGCCATCTCACACTCTAATCCATAAAATATAACTACCACCTGCTGATGTAAAAATAAGCAACGGATAGCTGGGGGATGTAGCTCAGCTGGGGAGTGCCTACCAGGCACAAAGCCCTGAGCGGGATCCCTTGCACTGTATAAACTTGATTTCAGCCCTTACCTTCACTGTTTCCCTGCTTACGTCTAGTCATCCTATGTTTCAAATGGCTTTAACTATCCTCAGACTTCTGTCACGTTGCCACAAACAAGCCTGAGAGAACCTCCTTCATAAACGCTTTCCTGAGTAGTCAGCCCGAATCGCCATATGGATACCTGCGAGTTCACAGCATTCATCAACCACATGATTGAATCTTATTTCCGGCTCCTGACCTTTTGAAGACCCAGTTTTCATCTAATAGCCTTTAGCTGTTTAAAAGATTCACCGGGAGACTGAAAGTTGAGCATGATGGGATGTTTTTTCTTTGGATAGTTTTCCTAGGGACGCAAGCTCCGGTGGAATGGAAGATTCTCTCCCTACATAGCATCTACTTCCCTTCCGCATCTACTTTGGAATCCGAAACTAGTGCCCGCTTCTCTCCAAACCGCTGCCTCCCGCGTCTACTTGTTCAAGGTCACGGCGGTAGGTGGCAGCGGGGCCGTTTCTTCCGCAAAGCTCACGCGCTCCCTCCCGTCTCTCCAGGGACACCGCAGGTCCGCCGCTGCGGGGCGGTCCAGCGCGCGTCTGGAAGGTTCGCGGGTGGGGCGGGGCGGGATGGGCCCCGCCTCCCGGACCGCCGTTGGCTGAGGCCGCGCTCCTCCCCGCAAGCGCCGCTCTCCAGCGTCGCGGCTCCCGGCGCTCAGGCAGGCCGGCCTCCGCTGCAGCTGCGCCGCACTCGCGCCATGCAGAGCCTGGCCATGGACCTGCGGGTGCTGTCCCGGGAGCTGGCGCTCTACCTGGAGCACCAGGTCCGCGTCGGCTTCTTCGGCTCGGGCATGGGCTTGTCGCTGATCCTGGGCTTCAGCGTCGCCTACGCCTGCTACTACCTGAGCAGCATTGCCAAGGTGAGCCGGGGGCGGGGGCGGCGGAGCGTGGCTGGCTCCGGGGCCCCGAGGGCGCGCGGAGACACTAGCTGCCTGCGGAGGTCCAGGGTCCTGCCACCAGGTTCTCCCGGTGTCCCCTTCCCCGGACCGGCCAGCACAACTGCGGTACTTCGGGAACGACACCGGCGCTCAGTTCGCGTTTCGTCCCCGTCCCCCCCCCGGGATGCGGGATGCGTTTGAGTGCATCTTGGGACTGTTGTGATTGTGGCTTCTGTGCGTCAGTCTCCGGGGAGACTGAATCAGAGGGCTCGCGCGCGGCCTCCGGGTGGGAGCACTATAAATCCTCTGGTTGCTGGTTTACGGCCGCGGTAAACTTTGTTCTGGACCCCTCACCGATGTTGCTTCTCCCCGCAGAAACCCCAGTTAGTGACTGGAGGGGAGAGTTTCAGCCGCTTCCTCCAGGACCACTGTCCGGTGGTGACAGAAACCTATTACCCGACGGTATGGTGCTGGGAGAGCCGAGGACAGACACTGCTGAGACCCTTCATCACTGCCAAGCCCCTGGTGCAGTACAGGAAGTAAGTGAATGTGTTTTTGACCTATTATCTTCCAAATCACAGGTTTTAATACCCGCTTCCACTTCTAAGTTAATACATCTGTGGTTAACAAAATGAAATGAAAGTAAATTGGAAGAATGCGCGCCCACCCACCCACCTCCAGCCCCAGAAAAAATATGTTGCTCCCGCCTTTTTTCTTTTCTTTTCTGTTTTCCTAACGGGCAGAATGGAAGTCCTAGCTAATTTCTGGGATGTGAGAAGCACATTGGTTTGGGGGGAGTACTGTTTTCCAATTTGTCCTTGAGGCTCTACAATCGCTTCAGGTTCTGTGTCTCCCCACGAAAGAACTCATAGTAACAAACGCATGGGTTTCTGAAGATAATGTTCTGATGTTGCAGGTGTGGGTGGGGACATATCTAACCAGAGATTTAAATGGTGTCTATTACTAATTTCCCTGAGTCATATGGTCTTTTTCTGGAGTTCCTTTTCTCCCTGCCGGTTCTACTATTGGGCCCACAATGCTGTGGGAAGTCATTCAAAAAGTAAATTTTGTAATATTCAGTGAGGGCCTGCTTAGTTGAGTCAGAGTTGTAGTTAGAACAGAGTTGGCTTACCCAGAATGCCCTGTTGGTCTCTGTATTACCTCAATTAATAGGGGTTAAATGCTATGCATTTGAGAGTAATAAAGAAATGATTAATATAATATATGAAGGGCTGTGTGTGTGTGTGTGTGTGTGTGTGATACCAAGGATAAATCAAAAGCCTTGTGCATACTAGGCAGGGACTTTCCACACTCCCTCCCAAATATTTGAAGTTCTTTGACGTTTATTCTTTTTTAAGTTCATTTTAAAAATAATTTATTGGTTTTTGAACAATTTTGTGCATATATATAATGTATTTTGACCACGTTTATACATATACACCCCAATTACCCTGATTTAGTCCCTTCTGAAGTTCATTTTTTACCTGTTACTTTTTATTGGAACTGCTGGAAATATGGTATTAATTTTGGTAATATTTTTGTAATGAAAGAAAGTGACTCATAGATATGTATATCTGGATGTGGTAAGTTATTTTGAGATGACCAGATAATGTCATATTTATAGAATGAAAACACCAAGGTGCAACTTAAGCACTCCTCAGTAATGCCTTTGAATGGTCATTTTCAGTGAACTCATCAAGACAGCGGATGGAGGCCAGATCTCCCTGGACTGGTCTGATAACAATAACAGCTCATGTTATACGGATGCCAACACCAGACCCACCATCCTGCTGTTGCCTGGCCTCACTGGAACAAGCAAGGAATCCTACATCCTGCACATGATCCAACTCAGTGAAGAATTAGGGTACAGGTACCTATGAAAGATTATTTCCCATTTTTCACTTAATTCTTACTGACATAAATATTTCAGGCTGAGTGAGCATGGTGGCATAAGCCTTTAATCCCAGCACTAGGAAACAGAGGCAGGGAGATCTCTGTGAGTGCAAGACCAGCTTAATCTTTGTATAAAGTTCCAGGCTATTAAGGTACATGGAGAAAAACATGCCTGCCCCCCCCCCAAATTTTCTCCCAGGTGATGTTGCACACCTTTATTTCCAGCACTCGGGAGGCAGAGGCAGGCAGATCTCTGAGTTTAAGGCCAGCCTGGTCTACAGAGCAAGTTCCAGGACAGTCAAAGCTTCAGAGAAACCCTGCCTTAAAAAACATACAAACAAAAAAATAAGATTTTTTTCCTTAGATGTATGTTTCAAATATATACACACTCACATTCCTTCATGCATAAATTAAGCAATCTCCTAAATTATTACTTCACTCTGATTTCTCTTTTGTTTCCATTTCCCATCTGATCACCTACAGAAAATGACTCTTAGTCACACAACAACTTAGGGTAAATGACAAATGATATTAGAACCACTTGGGCATTGATAGTGTCATTCCCCTCCCCACACTCACCCACCTCTCAAGAGTGTTCTGCAGAGTAGCCATTCCAAGCTCCTGAGACAGTGTACCGAGTGGGCTCTTGCTCACACTTTGAATTCGGGCCTTACCTTTGTTGATCTTATTTGCCTGGCTCTGATCCCAGTGTGAAAAATGAGCCTTAGCTTGTAGTCACCCATCACCTTCCACGGGCCATCGGTTCCTTTTTTTGTCCACCTGAATTTGCAGGTGCACATGGCTGATTGCCAGATGATACCACAGCATGTTTAAACAACCATTATTCAACTTGACCACCATAATTCAATTTTTCCAAGTGAGTTGGCAGCCTTCCATTTTAGACTCAGCTCTGGAGGCTTACAGCAAGGCTGCTCTGAACGGTACTGCTTTTTTATGTGCTGGTCTTTAACTGATGGTGTGATACACTCTGTGACTTGGGTTTAGAGTCGACTCCTTTTTTCTAAACTGAAAATGCTCATTTCTATGACACTTCAGTAGAAAGAGGGAAATATCATAACAGAAAATTCTGTTTTAACAAGTTAACTCTGATCTTTTACAGACAAAGCCTATTATGTCCAGAAAATAACATTCTCTCAAAAGCTCAAAGTATTCTTGACTTAGGATTTGCTAAGAAGTAGCAGGAACCCACTGTTATTCCATTTTAAACAACGTCCACTTAGATTGAAGCTTGTTTCTAATTTATATCTAAAGCTTGGTCATACTAAAAAGGTAGGGGTCTAGAAAGCCACCCCCCAGTTCCAGTTTTGAGACAGGATCTCATGTAGGCCAGGCTAATCTCAACATCATTATGTAGCCAAAATGTAGGGAAGGCTTGTGCTGAGAATTATGAGGAGACACAAAGAATCTGAACTTGTACTTTCCTGGGGACCTTGTAAGGAGAAAGCTGTGCCAGTTCATTGTCAGCAGCTTCAAGAACTGGTCAAGGGTGGCCTTGAACTGCTGTTTCTCCTGCTCAACCACACATTTATCAGTACTCTGGGTTCATGAAGTTATGGAGACTTAACGCAGGGTCTTATGCACACTAGATTATAGTGTATTTCAGCCTAAGTGTGATGTGTTCTGGGCTGGATCAGGCTGGCCTTGGCAGGAAGGAAGAGGAAAGAACAAGCTATTGTAAGTAAACTCTTTGGTGACCTTGGGACTTAGTCCCATTTATTTTTAGCTGCCAAGAGTCTCTGGTCTGGTCGAGGAAATGGTTCAGTCATACAGTGCCTGCTCAGTAACCATGAGAACCTGAATCTGGATCCTCAGAATTCACATAAAACACTGAGCGCAGGACCTGGAGATATGGGTCAGCAGTTAAGAACACACTCTGCTCTTGCAAAGGATCAGATTGAATTCCTAGCACCCACGTGGTATCTCACCACTGCCTAGTTCCAGATTCTCTTCTGACTTCATGGACACCAGGCATGCAACGTGATATATGCAAACAAACACTCATATACATAAAATAAATATTTTTTCTAAAGAAAGCTGGATAGATATGTGCCTGTATCCCCAACACTGGTGATAATGGAGGAGGTCAAGTCCTGAAACTCATAGGCCACCAGTCTACCCAGATGGATGAGCTTCAGGTCTACTTAGAGACCCTTTTTTAAAAAACTGAAGCAGATAGTAACTGAGGAAAGACCCTCCACATCAACCTCTTTCCTCTACATACATGCAGCCACATGTAGCCACTCATACTAACAAGTACGTGCACCACATAAACACACAAACACAAAGAAATTCTGAGTTTTACAAGTAGAGCCTTGAGAGAAACAATTTCAAGTCTCTGACCTAAGTTGGAGAGGCTGTATCAGTTCACTCTCGCCACTGAACAAACCCTCCAACGGTCAGCGGTTTAAAACAACCGTTCTGCTCAGTCCCAGGGGCTGACAGTTGGGCTAAGGTCACTAAGTGCCATCTTATCCAGGGTTATTTGTGCATATGTGATTAGCTGTCAAGACAGCCACATGCTTGGGGACTCTGGGACCACTTAGCTCTGCTGTCATCTACGCTAGGCTCACCCTGGGCTGCTCTTTCGGTGGAATAGGGTTTACTGAAAGTAAAAATCAAAGCTGTCAGGGCCTCTGAGGCCCAAACTGAGAACTCCTCCAGTGTTTCTTCTGTAGTCTACTACAGGGCAGATGAGATAGTCATCCCAGAGTCCTGAGCAGGGATTGCAGACTCCTACAGAAAGGATAGGTAGTTTCAAGACCACTGAAATAAAAGGTAAATCTGAAAACTTGACTTCTAGAAGGCTGTTCTGAGTCCTGAGGGGTGTGGCTGGAATCTAGCAGGTGACAGGGCTTGAGGAAGGCTCTGTAATATTGTGGGACAGAGATGGGCTTCAGGGTTCAACCTGGACGCTCTTGTTGGGACTGCCACTTAGAGTAATCCCAGAAGTTAACTGAATTGTCCCACCATACTTCCCTCTCTGACATCAGAGAATTTAGTTGAGGTGTATATAGTACTTAACTGCACACACTGAGTCTTTCAAAAGTGTTTTTCTTCTTTCTGTTGTGTTCCAGTCTGACCAGAGTAGTAACTGTTTTATAATTTAGAAGTACAAGGCACATCTTACTTCGGGACCATGTGGACATCATGTCTTTTACAGTGTTTTGTCGACAAAGATGAACATTCATACGATGCAGACAGAGATGAACATTCATACGATGCAGACAGAGATGAACATTCATACGATGCAAAGGAGTCAGCTCCACTCATTATTCTGTATAAAAGAGAGGACTTGGGAGTGGGCATGAGTTCTGTCAGGGCAGCAAGGAACTGATGCTGTCTGGTAAGATGCTGAGTCTTGAGAGAGATTCTAACTACAGCCTATAGATAAATGAAACCAAAGGATTTATGTATGGTCAATGTAAACACAGTATTTTCCACTCACTCAAAATGAACAATTGATGGGAAGGAAACTAGGCCAAAGTTTATGTAAGATAATTATGTGCAAAGGTATTCTAACTAGGTCAAAGGTAAATAGTCTTGGATAGAGAATATTTGACCTGCTTATAGTGACCATCTTCACAGCACTGTGGTTGCAAAATGTCCTCTTGGAGGAGACTGTTGTTGAGCCAGATAAATTCTTTCCAATTTTATCAATCTGTTGAGACAAACGTTTCCTAGAGGGCACATGACATAAGAAAGGTCTCAAGGTTTATAGAAAAACATCCCATGAACATAGGAAAAGGATAGTTCCCTCCAATAACAAAAAGTTCTTTTTCTTTGAGCCAGGGTCTCACTTTGTAGCGTAACACTCAGTATGTTGTCAAGGCTGCCTCAGTTGTCCAAGTGCTACACATGATTGATAGGTATCATCACCATGTGCTGCTGCTGCTTCCTCCCCTTCCTCTTCTTCTAAAATTTACTTCTATTTCATGTGCATTTATGTTTCACCTGATGTATGTCTGTGTGAGGGTGTCAGATTCCTAGAAACTGGAGTTACAGATGATTGTGAGTCACCATGTGGGTGCTGGAAGTCAAATCTGGGTCCTCTGGAAGAGTAGCCAGTGCTGGTAACTGCTGAGCCGTCTCTCCAGCTCCCTTGCTGACTTCTTTAAAAGTCTCAATTTAGTCGCTGGGAAATGACTCAGATGATAAAGATCATTTACCATTCAAGTAATGAGGACCTAAGCTAGAAACCCTCAGGACCATGTTAAAAACAAACAAAAAGCCAGATGCCACAGGCATAGCACAGGTGTCTGCGGTCCTGTGACTCCTCCCAGGATATGGGAATAGAGACAGGAGAACCCCAGAACAGGAGAACGTGGTCCAGCTAGCCTGGCATGCAAAACAGAAAGAAATGACAGAGAGACCCTGTTTCAAACAGAGTAGGATTTGTAGACTGACCTCTAGGCGGCCTTTGGCCTCCACGTGCACACTGTGGCCACACAGACTCATGCTCATCCAAACATGTAAAGTCTCTCTTTGTGACATTTATCCTTGTAGTCTGCTCAAGGGACTGAAACAAGAGGATCACTTGAGTCTAGGAGTTTGGGACCATTCCTGAGCAACATAATGAAACACTCATCAGGAAAATTAAGTCTTTAATAATAAAAGAAACCTACATGTAGCAGCATAGCCTAATAGGAAGTATTTTATACCTGAATATATAATATCCTATTTTCTTAATTTTTTTTTCTTTGTTTGAATTGATTTCCTAGGCTGAAACACAGACAAGGGGGGAACAGTGACCCTGACTTGGTCTGGATCAGCTTTCTACCTTGGCCTTTTTTGGTCATTCGTCCTTATGCTCCACCCCCCCCCCCAGCTAATATTAAAGAGTGACTTGTCCAGAATTACGTAATAACAAGCTCGTTGGAATCTAGGTCAGTCATTAAGTATTTTGTGCTGTGCAGTATCAGAACTATATTCCCTAGGAGGCTATGGTCTAGTTGGAGT